ATTTTTATATATATATATATATATATATGCAGAGAATCAAACAAGCCAATAGATTACATATAAATATGGCTTATAACTATCTATTATTCCTTCTCCTAATGTGATTGTAATCATCTAACTCAGAAATGCCATGTATGTTACACGCTGGTGATTTGACACTCACTGCTGGCCTATTTCACCTGACTTAGGTTCATGAGGTCTCAGTCTGTGGGACTGTTTAATCACAATATGGTCTTCTGAGATTCCGGTGAAGCCTAGGTCCTTGGACAGCACAAGATGGTATTGTCACATATCTCAGATTCCAGACCGAGTAGGAATGTTTGCACTGCTATGTTTAGTCCAAGAGACTCAGAGCTGCAGGGTTTTCTTTGCAGTGTAGGGCTTAATCGGGATCCATCTTACCAAGTAGTGTTCAAAGATGTAGGGAGAGACATTCACTACAAGAAGTGTTTTTATACACCAAAGACTCAGAATCTACTGTCCTTAGAAACCAATAGGAATCATTTCACTAACTTCAGTGGATACTAGTTTGTGTCAGATCCTACAAAGACTGATGCATGTGAGTAATTTAATTTACATCTGTAATCTTTCTTCAAAGAGACTACTTGAGTGAATAAAGTTACTTGCTGGCATAAATCTTTGCAGGATCAGGGTCTAAAAACAGTGGTTCTCAAACTTTTTGGCCCCTGGTACACCTGGTTCAATGCAAACCTTTCTGCAGACCACCAGTTGTTAATGGAAACTCGCCATTCATTACATAATTATGCCTGAGCCATTTTGCTAGTGTTGCAGCTAAGGAGAATGATGTATTTAAATTATTAAACAGATTAAACATTTTAACTTTCTCATGTTAGTTTATCAAACTTCATTTTAAATACAGTAAAATATTAATTTATGTCCAACACAAAAGGTTTAAATGTTTTCTTTATTTATGGCAGGGATAGGGAACCATTTTTGTGTCGGAGGCCAGTGACCCACAGAAAAATCAGTTGGGGACCACACAAGTGAGAAGCAAAAAAACCCACTCCCTCAACCCCCACTAATGTGGCTCCCAATTGGGACACCTCACTTCTCTGGCAATTCAGTCCCATGGGATGAGGGAGAGGAACAGGGAGGACATAGGTTCAGGGCTTCCCATAGGCCAGGTTTACTCTTCTGGGGTTCTTGGGTTAGTAGATTTTGTGGACCCGCCTATGTTTTGGGAGGAGTTCATTGTGTGGATAGGGCTGGGGGTTGGAGTTTGGCCAGGGAGGAGGGCTCAGGAGCAGGCTCAGATTGCAGGGTCTCAGTGGGGTAGAGCGCATGAAGGGCTGGGAGTGTGGGGTCTGAGCATGAGGGGGAAGGAAGGTGCTTACTTGCTTTTGTACCCTACACAGCTCCCAAGCTACGAGTTGCTGCTCCAATTGACTGGATTCCAGGTGTCATGTGCTGGAAAGCCTCCAGGTGCCATGCGCTGCTGTTCCCCCATCTGGGTGAGGGGGAGCAGCAGCACAAGAAGCCACTTCTGGCTCCACTTCTTTCCTGTGGGCTGGATCCGGCAGGTAGGCTTGAGGCTTTCTTCCTCTCCTCCCCTCCGGTGGAAAGACAGCGCTGGCACTCAAACTTTGCAGGGGGTGGGGGGTCCCTGCTGTAGGGAGAGGCAGGAAGGAAGAGAGGAAGGAGGAAGGGGGCTGAGCTTGAGCCACAGACCACCTCAAAGGTGACCGCAGACAATTAGTGATCCATAGAATGCAGTTTGAGAACGACTGGTCTAAAGTAAAAGACATCACTGCAAATTCAGTGGCGAGAGCACCAAGGAAGAGCTACTGCTAAATATTACTTGCATTTTAACCAGTGTATTGATACAATTTTCACTGGCTTAGTATCTTAGCTGACATTGAATGAACGAAGCCAAAAAAATAAGAAGTCTCACGGGTCTATTTACACTAAGGCCACTATTCTGGGAGAATAATAAGGGGTCATACTGTTGATATATTTATAATTTTCAGGAGCGAGAGGGTGGTTCTGTAGAAATAATAGTATGTGGTCATATAATTTAGAACTGTATTGCAAGACAAACACACAAAGGAAGGTAAATTAGGTTTGCACAGACAACCTTAATTCTAGTATTTCCTAACTTTTGAGCGCTTGACTTTGTAATGCTAACGTACTTTTAACATTATGTGCATGTTTATTTATATATCTATCTAGTCATATAAAATAAGATCCTAAATATAAATGTTATCAGTTTACATGGATGGGGTCAACTTTACTTATTGTTTTCAGTGTGGTAAGAAAGGCTATGTCTAGACTGCAGGCTTCTTTCGAAAGAGGCTCTTTCGAAAGCATCTTTCGAAAGAGCCTCTTTCGAAAGATCGCGTCTAGACTGCAGGCAGATCTTTCGAAAGAGCAATCCGCTTTTTCGAAAGAGAGCACCCAGCGAGTCTGGATGCTCTCTTTTGAAGAAGCCCTATTTACATTGAAGAACGCCTTCTTTCGAAAGAGGAACTTTCGAAAGAAGGCGTTCTTCCTCGTGAAACGAGGTTTACCGCCATCGAAAGAAAAGCCGCGTTCTTTCGAAATAATTTCGAAAGAACGCGGCTTGAGTCTGGACGCAGGGGAAGTTTTTTCGGGAAAAGGCTACTTTTCCCGAAAAAACCCCTGAGTCTGGACACAGCCAAAGAGAAAGTAAGAGGACAAACATGTAAAATTAAAGACATATTTAGAACAGACGTCAAGGAAAACATTTCATATCTGGCATACTTCCTGCAAGGCAGACAAATCTCTGGAAGCAGATGGCATTTAATATTGGAGGGGAACATTTCCTCACAGAACTAAAAATAATATACGTAAAAGCCCTTTGTTCACTCAACTCTCCCACATTCACCACCCTATATATGCTGGAACTTGAGCAGAACACAAAACAGTATCAGATTGCTTTGACCTGATAATATTGATAAGATATTGGTAAACATGGGCACACAAGTAAATCTATTTCTCCTTAGAATATAGTGGCTGTGAGAACAAGGAGGTAAATAAAATATCAGAGCATGAATATACCCTTTTGAAAGTATAATTGTAATTACAGTAACTGTCTTCATCAACCTTTTTTTGCGTCAGTGTTTGTATTTATTATATGACTTCAAATGTGTCAGATCATACTGATTAACCGTACATTATCTAGGACACATGGTGATTGGACTTTTTGTTATTTCCCTTAGTCCAATTTTGCCTGATCGGTTATTAAAAATTCTCTCAACAATCAAACATAAACACAGGGGAATGTTACTTACAAGAAACAGAATTCTCACTAAGCGGCATATAGTTTAGAGTTTTCTCTGTTATACTGCTACATACAGCAACTTTTAGGCTGCTACAAGTTGAAGTGTAATCAGAGGCATCTTTAAGTAAACAAATAAAATAAACAGGGTTTGAACTAAAATATCTTTCTCAGGTTGAGTATTAGTACTTAAAACACACACAACACACTTTTGATACTCATATGCCCATTCCTGTTTACACTCAGGCTCTTTTATGCTGCAAAATGAAATGGCCCTGCAATGGGTGGAAATAAGAATCAGGGTCAGACTTTCAAATGCATGTGCAGTGTTACACTTCCTCATATGAAAGGTTGATTTTATCTTTATATAAATTCAGCCTTCTCTTTTATGCTACATATAGTATTTGTTTATTGTGCGTGTTAGGGAAGTGGTTATAAGTCAAACTTATGTTAGGAAAGTGATCAGTCTGTGAATTCTGGCATGTAAATTAAATGCTGTCTCTGGGGTAACTAACTTATCTTTGTATGACAGCTTCTTTTGTTTGAGACAAACTTGTTTGTTCTTTAAATCTAAGGTGAAAACTTTTGAAATTGCACTAGAAAAAAGTGATATTTTGGCTGTGTTTTCTGAATCTCAGAAATTATTAAAATTCATCATTTACAGTTTAACATTCTATGTGGTTGTTAGTGATGTCACAGTAATGATGTATTTCACCTCCCAATCTGCACTTCATGCCAATTTTACATTGATGTGGCAATAACCAGAAATCATTAACTATACAAAGAACAATAAAGATGACAAGCAAGCACACTAGCCTGTCAAAATATAGAAATATCAGAGAGAATTCTGGACTATATAGATCACTGTGTCTCATCACTAAGGCAATTCTTAATGTCCCAATCCAATGGAATTCATTACTTTTGACAGATAGAATAAAATTCACCCTTAAAATAATCAGTTCAGTATATTTTGTGGTTCTACCAACAATACATATATTTTCAGAAAATGTTTGTATGCATGTAACTTAAGTAATATTCTATATGAAATAGGTGTTTCTCTTTTTATGTATAGTAGAACACCTATTTGACAAATGAATGGAGACCGAGGAGTTCTAAAAATAAAAATTAATACTTGAGCATCTCAAAAATACAGCAGGTAGGGCGTACAAGTAACACCAGTGTTTCTTAAACTATATTCCGTGGAACTCTGGTGTTCTGTGAAAAACTCGTAGGTGTGCTACAACCTCTTTTTTGTTTTTGTTACTTCTTTGTTTTTGTCTTTTTTTGTCTGACAACAATTTTTTTTTTAAGAAAATGTTCATAGTTGTTCCACATAAAAAAATATTATTGTTTCTTGTTCCGTGGTCTCAAAAAGTTTAAGAAACACTGCAATACACTACATCACTTTTTTCCTGTCATTCAAACATATGCAAAGCAATATCCAATGTGTTGAAAGCATTGGAATATGAAGGAATGTTGAGTTTTTCTTCATCAACAACACTTTCATTATGTGATTTTTTCCTCCATTGGGCAAAAATGCTTTGTATAATTTGTTGTTTGTCAGACTGGTGTTTTTAAAACTGTGTAGTGTGCAGTTCAAAACGTGGAGTTTATTCTTGTTTATGTCTACACGCTAATACCATGAACAGAAGCACAAGTCACACATGCATCCAGAAGACAACCGTTCCCTGTTCTGTGTAGTTTAATACCTATTAAAATATCTGTCAGTGACCAATATTGGAAATGGTTCAAACATTATAACTAAACATGACACATATATTTAGCGATATGTGGAGATTCAGTTAGTTTATTTAAGTTTTCTACTTTTAATTATAATTAGGTGTTTTTATATTTACATAAACAAAATACATAATTTCTAAATATGCTCATACAATGTTAACAGGCAAAACAGATGGAGCTTTTAAAAATAAAGCTGAATTTAAAAACAAGAAAAATATACTACTTACATGGTCTTAAGTGATCAAAAGTCACCTGAACAGCACATTTAATATATAAGCCCACTGACAGAGTGGCATTTTGTCAGTACAGAGCAAGCTGTCATTTGCACAACATAAACAGAAACCTGCTCTGGCATTTCACCTAACTGAACTGAAATGTATTGTTGTTTGATGTATGGCATCGTTTTCTACAAATGTCATCTCATTTTCTTTCCTGGTGCCCTGTTTTAAACATAAAACGAAAACTTCTTTTGTTCCACCCATATTCTATTCCCCTGAAAAAGAACCTGTCTCTCTCTTTCTATCTCTATCTATCTCCCTCCTCCCCCATCTGACTTTTTGAAAGTCATGAGACTGGTTAAAAACAGATCACATCATCAAAAATAAAATGTACTAATAGCTCTGTTACAGATACCTGAGGGAATTTACCGTGCACCAGTGACAAAAAACTATATTGTACTCTTGAGGTCTCCCCCCTCATAAAAGCCACTATGACATTCTCTTCACCTGGGGAAAAAAATAAAAACAAGTTCTTACCTCATGCTGGCTAATAGGTGGTAATTCAAAGTAGGTCATGACTTAGGCCTGGTCTACACTAGAGCTTTATTTTGAAATAACGCCCCTTAGGTCAAATTTATAAGGGGAGCATTCACACTACCAAGCTCATTATTTCAAAATTAGTGGCCACTTATTTCAAAATCTGTATTCCTGCTTTTCTCAGGAAATAACACTAATTTCAAAATATTTACTTCCCAGAATAATTCATACTAATTACTCCCCAGTGCTTTCTGGGGGCTCTAAATCAAGATAGTGTGTCCACATCGATGAAGGTTGCCTCGAACTAATTTTGAGGCTTTCCCATAGCAGGGTCACGCTATTTCAATTTTGTCAAATTGGGGGTTATAAAGTGAATTTACTTAGTTCAATATAATTTCCTATTGGCCTTAGTGAAGACAAGTAAGATGTAGATTTAACATTTCTAGGAAAAACTAGTTCCCCCCACCCACCATCAATATTTACCTGCCTTGTCTTCACTAGTATTTTACCTTATGTTAGCTAACATGAGGAAAGAACGCATCTTGTTTGACTACACATTAAGTTCTGGCCCCATTGGAGTAATGGCAAAACTCTCATTAACTGCATTGGATGATGTTCACCATAGCATTGAGCACTGAGGTATTAACATACAGTATTTCAACCTTTTAAACCTCCCTTATTCCCTTATCTTATACCTTTCATAAAAATAACTATTTGATGTTGATATCTTTACTGTAAATTTGTCATTAGTTATA